GTTTTTATAGGGGTGCTCACGTTGCCGTTGGATTACGGAGCACACACGCTCATGGCATAACTCAAATTGTTAAGGAAAGTTGGCTTGGGCAGGGACACCCCGTTGGAAGGGATGAATAATGGATGAATAATGGCAGGCGTTGCGGCCAGGGAATGGAACTCGTCCAAGCGGATGTCCACCGAGGAAATGGCGCCACGAAATCGCCTCGTGCGCAGGTGGATTACGGCGTCGCAGGGATTGCGAGAGGTGGCGACGGATCGTGGGAGGCCTTCTTCGTCCAGTAATGGATCGATCGTGGCCGCAGCTAATGATGACCACGATGGTAGTTGAGCTATTAGATGTTCCCGTACAGTTGAATGCTTTTGATTGTTTGTCGAGATAGTGGTTAGGGGGGGGTGGACTTGTGGTCCACTGGAGCAAACGAGCGTGGGTCGCTGCCCGAAGGCCGCTCAATCGCACGGGAACACTGATGACCGGGCAGGCGGGCAAGCGCGCATAAGCGGAACCGACCTTACAAATTAGATCATGCAATTATTTTGGGCGTTTAATAGTTTTCTTCCTTCGCTACATGCGCGCCTACACTTTTCCGTTCTCTGATGCGTGGCTTTTCACTTTTGACGCGTTTTATCGTGGCGTCGAAAGTGAGACTCAGTCTCCGAGTCCTTTTTCTTTCGCAATGAAACTTTGCCATCTGCCTCTGTTGACTTTGTTTGACAGGAGCAGCCACATGTAGATGAGGATGCTTGTTTATTCTCGTCGTAGCTTTATGTTTATAACGTTTTTTTTTTTCCCACAGAAAAGGAACTAAGTTTTTTTGCATTCGTGTTTCTAATCCGAAATTTGCTATTTTTTCGTGCGAGCAGATTTCTAATTTGCATATCATTTATAATTGGGCTCCGGATATTAAGATCAACAAAGTGCAACAGATGATAAGAGTTGAGCTGAAGTGACGGTATGCCTGAGCAAAGCGGGGAGATAGCTTTTCACATCAGCAGCTCCCATGTGGTGCCGAACACTGCTGCCGAAAGCAAAGATGATCCGAGAGGAAAGAAAAACAAGAAATGGAACAAAAAAATATTCTTTAACCAAAAAAACGAAAAGCCTTCTCTATAACAACACTTTTTTTTTTAACCGAGAAAATATTTTACAGCACATCTGTGGAATTATGAGACTGACGCACACGATGCAAGAATTGTGACTTGTGCCATGTCAAAAGGCCTTTATGTTGAGACCTGTAAGGTCGGCTGAGCTGGGTGAGGCCCAGTGCTCTGCTTTCATATTGAGGCCTGCAAGGTTGGCTGCACCAGGTGGGGCCTACTGAGCTCTTATTGCAACGGTAATCCTGGACTTGTTTTGGAAACTGTCATATTTTAAGAGTAGGGCTTTCCGATGTGTTTTTACGATCGTATCACGTTCCCTTGGGCATGTCAGACGTTTCGCTCCATGTGACGGGATCGTCTACAACCCACACGCGTAGCGGCGAGCTATAACAGCGCAAGCATTTTTACGGTAAAATGTACCTCGCGGCCGAAGCATTTACTTACCCACGTCTTCCCCGGAGCCGTCTCTGCCGAGGCAAATGCATTGGAAGAGCAACTACGAAATCCACACCCTCCACAATCTCCACCTCGATAATTGCGCTCGCTGGATGAGACTTGGATGAGACCCAATGTCGAGTCGGAAGATCCCATGGGCCGGCCGATGATTTTTGGCCACACGTAAAATTAGCGAACGGGTACGCAGCGGGGTGATGTCAGGCAGTGACGATGGGGGGTGGGGTTCAGCACTGGCATGTGCAGGTAGTCGACATTGAGTAAGCAGGTGAGTTAAGAGATATTGGTGGGGGGGGGGGGGCAGTGGAGGATGGTGATGGAGGGGGGTTTTTGTGGGAAGGGGGGAAGAGTGCAATTCAGTGTGTTCCAGCACTCATTGTGACTAATTAGCGAGGCGTTAATTGATTTATAGTGCTGGTTACCCATTCCCGGCTCTCTCCAGCAACATATGCTTTTCTAAACGTTGTTCATTTGGGGAGGTGGCGGTGGGGACAGATTGAGCCGAGTGGGGCGAGCGGGTTGCCCCAGCCGACAGCTGCCTGTGTTTACCCACACGATGGCACACATGCGCGCGCACGTGCGCACGCGCGCGCACACACACAAGCGCGTGAGCGCTAAAAATCTACCGTTTACAGCCCCATCTGTTCCACACATCCAGGGATCGTGACTTCACTTTTTTTTTACTTGATTTTCTATCTCTCTCCGTTTTCGCTCTCTTTGCCTCTCTCTCTCTGCTGTCTGGCGCACTCTCGCTTGCGTTCTCTTGTCCTCGCTATCACCTGGGTTTTTTGTTTTGTTTAAGCCTCTGCGTATTCGGTCTTGGCTGCCTGCGTGCTAAATGCTGTGGGACGTTTAAAATGTGCGAGGGACGCACGGCTGCTGCTGCTGTTGCCGCTGCGGATGCTGACAAGTGCAGGGTTATGCAGGTAGTACTTGTGTTCGTCGGTGACACAGCCAGGCATGCCTGTGAAGCCAAAAGACCAATATAAATCCTTGTAAACACGTTTAATGGTGCTAGTACAGTGTAATAATGCAACCATTATTTTATGATTGCAGTAGCTCAACGTTCCCAAAAACATTCGAATGTGGTTGATCCTCATATATATATTTTCCCCTGCTCTCACCCGCCAAAGTTAATACATCTGCTGTTGTTACACACGCATTCTTCTTTGATGATGCAGAACTGAACGCGACGTAAAACATATTTAGTTGCGTCTTGCACACTTTGCTGTATTTTTATTTCTCCAATGTCTATCGGGCCGAATGAATCGTCCTCCTGTACGTGCCGGGTATTCCACCCCCCCCTCCTCCTCCTCACTTCTTCAGGACCCGCGTTCCGTGTTTAGAAACGCGGCTTGTTAGCGTGAACGGCAGAGAATTCCAAGCGATGTGGCCGTCCACTGCCAGGGGGGTCACGGAGGGTCGTGGGGACGGGACAAGGGGAATCTTATGCCGGAGGTTGAGTGGGGGAACGGGTCTTTGGTCACGTTAGCCGTCTGCTGCGTGGGCTCGTAACGCCGCCCGCCTCTTTGAATCCGGCACATATCCCGGCACAACATATAATTTATCTGTTTGGAAATCGATTCCTCCTTTGTGCAGAGTGAAATCTTTGGTGCTGTTTGCGTGGGCAGGCGCGTGGGCAGGCACGGGAGGACGGACGGTGGGGGGGGGGGGCCCGTTAGTGCCTGGCTGAGATAAAGTAGTGGTGGCTGTGCAATAGCCATGAGGGCTGCTGTGTATATTAGCTGTCAATGTGCCATCAATCAGGCTGTGTTATAGTTGGCCGTGATTAATTGCGCAGTGTATGCTGTGTGGGGCGATGTGGTGGGTTGTGTGTGTGGGGGGGGGGGGGGTGCTGGGAGGATGGGCATGGGGGTTAATGATTGATGATAATGTATAAATGACGTTCAGACGGAAACCAGAGGAATACGTTAGCCGTGTTTTTGTTTTTTCCCCGTTCCCTCCCCCCATCAGGAGACCGATTTTCATTTACGTGTCGTTTTTCCCAGCCATTTTCCGTCCGTATTTGATCCTTGTCAGAATATCTAATAAAACGTCGAGGTTTTAAAGTCTCGCCTAATAACTGCAAATGTCACATGGTCTCTAGATCATATTTGACCCAGTAAATAAATAAGTACATTTCACAGTACCCATGAAAAGCAATGTAGGATCACTTTTCATTAGTTGTCAATAAAATAATAATAACAAACTATATGTTACATGCATAATGCTCCATGTGTACAGTAGTCTGTGTAAGAACAGCAATAGAGATTAATATAAAGGATATGATTAAAACGCCTCGCTTTGTCTTCTTTCATAGCCAACGTTTTCAAATGTAATTTATAAAGTCAAGAAATATTAAACTGGCCGTGGCTTGTAAACAAATCTTTATTAGTGCAACCCTTTCATTTCTTTCTTACATTGAGGCCCATCCAAGAAGCCAACAGGTCAAAACACTGTAATTTTGCAGGTTGGTGTTGTGGTAAATAATTAATTTGAGACCTTTTTTTAATTCAAAACAATAAAACACTCCATAACTGTAATGAGTGGTGCTCTGCGGGGATTTTCTCTGTGGTTTACGGCACACGGGACATTGTAGGGTGTCTGTAAATGTAACGCGACCAATTTTCCTGTAGGAAAATTGATAAATGCGACATTTAAAATAAAATGTTTCTCTATGTGGCTGTGTTTGTTAGGCATCGCCGAGACGACCAAGGCACAATGCACGCCATGTCCTCGTGACGATTTTGAGTTTGTCGCCGTTGATATGTCCATGATTGGTAGAAATGTGTGGTTTTAACAGACGTTGAAACGTCCTTGCGTGTGGTAAATCGTATTCAAGTCACCACGCGCGGAGATTAGTAGATTTTAAAATTGATCATTGCACTCGCAATACGCGCATCGAATTACGCATTTAAGAATGTTATTTACCCTTTGTGAATTGTACACAAATGGGGTACTCTTGTTGGATTCATGTTAATTGGCCAAACAATACTGCAAGGTCATTACAGAAGTAAAAACAAACCAAGAAACAATACAATACAAAAATGAGATGAAGAAAATTCGACGGCTTTGTTATGGCTTTAAAAAAAAGGAATGTCGAGCGCGAATCGTGACAACTCATCAATTCTCTTGGTGGATGAATCGGCACGTGCCTGTTGAATTGGGCACTGTGATGTGTAATCCAAGCGATACAACTTCAATCTCTGGCATCTGTCGGCAGGACTGAACCCCGTTCGGTCGATTTTGACCTGAATCGAGCATCTGTGATGGCGGTATTGTCATCGCTAACAGAAATGGAAAGACAAAGGCAGTCGGGTGTTCCAGTATAGGTACTGGTCACCTGCCTTTTTGAAATAGATTTCTCATTGACAGCCAAATTGCGCCGCTCTAACAGCACATCCTTCCTCTGCCCGTTGCGTTCCGTGCCCGTGTGTGTCAACGCAGCGATCGGCAGGACACTCATCCCACGCTACTTCCGGAGCATCTTCGAGGGCGGCGTGAGCGACATGTACTTCATGCTGCGCCACTCCAAGGAGTCGTTCCACAACAACGCGATTACCCTCGACTGCGAGCAGTGCACCATGGTGACGCAGCACGGCAAGCCCATGTTCACCAAGGTATGCCCGCGCCCCCGAGCCGCGGCGCGATCACGGCTTCCGATGCCCGCCCATCGTCGCCCACGCGCCACGTGTTGACACTTCCTGCCCTGCCGTGTCACGCCCAGCCACCCCGACGACACGCGCTCTGCCGCGCTGTCGATAATGCAGCACGACGCAGAGTTGTTCGTGCGCCAGCGCCACGCCGGGTCTTAATGCCACTGCCCTTCTGGCGCAAGCCTCCGGTGGGTTTTGTGGCCCAGTGAATGCCTCCGTGCGTGCGCCCCGGCGGTTTTGAGTTAGCTGCTCAAAATGATGGGCGAGAGAAAACTCTCTTGACAGCTCCAATGCAAAGTTAACCGACGCCAGCACTCCAGCCTCGGTGGCACTGATTACATCGCTACTGGCATCACCAGGAGCCCTCTAGAAAACATACGAGCATTATTCATTCACCATGCCCATTCATTCATTAGCTTAATTGCAGTGTAATTCATGTGCCTGTCGTGTTTCTAATTCATTGAGTTGATTCTCCACTAAATCGTTCATCGTTGCGTCCTCCCTTTCTTGCATTCGTTTAATGACTTCTTTTCGCGTGTCAATGCTTGCACTGTCATTAATTTCCTTGGTGTATTCGTTATTTGGGAGACTTTAAAAAAATAATGTTTGCCTGGCATGGCTCAGGTTTGACTGAACACATTGGTTTGTGCATGACTGCGGAGGTTGCAAGAATGTGGTGGCACCATAGCACGTGTGCAGGGTAACCTCGATTAATATTTCTTGACGAATAAATATCGCGGCCGTAAAATGACATGAGATGGTGAAACGATGCGTCGATTTTACAACGGTTACTGTCTTCTGTCTTTAAACGGCAGTGTGTAAGAGGCGACATTTTTGGGGAAATGCATTTTCCTTTAAATGCAAAATGCATGGAGTATTTTTGCTCGTGCACCACTGCCAATGCAGCATCGCCAAGTTATGCATTAAATTTTCATCGATTTGTATCGATCAACGTCGATCTCAGTCCCACGATACGTGCATTTAATCGTACGTATAATCGCACAGGTCCCATGTTGTAGCTGCTCACCCCGAGCTCTAAATGCCCTGATAGTGCATTGTCTTTGTGCTGTTTTTGCCTTTTGGCATTCTCTGCTCTAACACTTTCAGACTAGGCACAAAACCAAGTTGTCTCAAGTGTGGACCAATCAATGCATATATAATTATCAGAGCATGTTTTCTGTTTGCATGTTCACCACAAGTACTGTGTGGTTAATGCAGACAGGATTCCTTGAAAAAGGATTCTATTTGGTGTTAACATCTTAACATCTGTTTTATTGCCAGAAAGTGCAAAACCTATTGTTATCAATCGCACATGTTGTATGTACTTGGTCCACATCACCATTACGGCCACTGGAGGCTGTGCCGTGGGGTTTTGGCAGCAGTGTTTAAAACAATTGATTGCATACTCGAATCGTGACACTAAATCTTGACAATCACTATGTTTTGGGGGGGAAGAGTGTGAGAGGTGAATGGTTCAACCCTCACATTTGAAGACGCACTATGCAATTATCAAAGTATTACTGTGCTGTGCCATCCACTGGATATGGTGCAATATAAAAAAAAAACCTTTGACAGCATCTCCAGAAGAGACTATTGTAATCTTAGTCACGGCTCGCATCGAAACGTTTAAAAAAAAATCACCCACAATTAACATTTGACACAATCTGTACAAATGGGTTCGCAAACCCAACCGTAACTGTCACTGGTTGTTCGACAAGTGAGTGCATTAATTCACCTTCTCGTGGCAGGACACAGTCCCTCCATGAAGCAAATCTAAAGATAACCCGAATATTATTTTAGAGACTGTTAGCTAAAACCTATTAATGCCAGCTCGGTGCACGAGGAGGAAGTCTGGCCAATACAATGCCCGACCACCTTTGTCTCCCCAGTGCTGATGTTAGACACTTGGCAGCGGGTACTCATTTAAGGCAGAGTCAACCTCGGGGAGGCTCCAAAACCGGTTCGGATACCACTCTATAAAACTCGCCATCGATGTTGGCCCAGATTAGAACCCGGGTTGCTAGGTTCATCGTGCGCAGTTGCGCTTATGCGTAGAACCAGCCCACTGTTAGTGTCCCCACACAGTTGGCATACATTTCATTCACCCCAATGTCCAATGCGTGTAGTGCAGTAGCAGCGTTTGGACAGAGAATCAGGGCTTGCAAACCGGCGCTCCGGAATGCGCATCTCACTTGCACATATGCGCTTTCGCTACCAATATTATCCACAATAGACGTTTTTTGTTGGGTTATATCACGTAAATATAAACGTGTCGTTAAACCCGCCGCCACCCCGACACAGCCAGATTAGTAAGGTTTGCCACGTAACCAAAACATGCCCAATTTGGTTACTATTTCTGCACACCGTTGTGGTTGGAGATTAAATCCACAACATTTACAATTCGATTACTGTGACGTTTCACCGGTAATTACAGCAATCGGCCTCATCAGGTGGATAGCCAGAGTTGTCTCGTGCGGACGGGCGCTGCCGTTTAGAGCCGCAGAGATGAGTGCCAGCTGAACGCCCACGAGCCCAACCGGGCTTCACGGCGCAGCGGCACTGCCAATGCAAGCGCTTGTGAGCCGGAGTTTTGAGCATCGTCGCTGTTTTTGTAGAGAGTGGTGAGGCTGTAAGGAGATTACCCTCCTCCACGTCTCGGCGATTCGGTGAATCGTCACGATTTTTGGGCCGCGATTCGATTAGAGAATTGATAATTGTTTGGCCCGCTTTTATGTTAAGTTTCTTTTATTACACTGGTCAACAAAAAAAAAGTTTTTTTTCTGGCCTGGACTTTTGCAGCTGTTTTAGACTGATTTCATGGTGCTGATTCCAAATCTAATCTCAGATTTGCTCTATCACATCTCATTTCTATGCTATCGGCATACCCCATTTTCATAGATTTTACCCGAAATTAACTCTGTCACTTATGATTGCAAGTTGTTGCGAGTCAGTCACTGCTTTAGTGTTAAAATATGGTGCTGTATTTTTAGGATAGTGTGTTTATAATATAATTTTATGTAGATATCCACATTTATTTAATATTTTTCTTCTGCAGTTTTTATTGAAAATGCAATATTTGATATCTCAAAAACCTGATGTGATAGACAATCAGCACCCCAAAATTACCTTAAAACCGTTGGAATACCTTCTGCCAGAAAAAGTGTGACCAGTGTTATCAGTATGGGTTGTAACAGCATTGGTCTGTGAGTTTTAAAAAATGTAACATTTCTCCGTGTCCATGCCCGCCTACGCGTTGGTCGCTTAGTTACTCTGAACAATTAGCGATTCCCTTTGGAGTCACGGCAACACGATGCAGTGAGAGTTCTTGCTGCGGGGCACGGGGTGTACCGTGTGCCCTGCCCCTGAACACGCAAACTTCAAATATACACCAACAGGCGTCAGGGTCGGGGTTGAACCCACGACCTGCTGCGTACCAGGCGAGGGTAACATCTCACCGCCACGCTCGGACTTCTTTGCATACTTTACAGCTTTTTGTTTGAATAATTTTCATATTCGGTGTGCACGTTTCTAGCCCATGTGTAACAGCAGGCTCTATATATACTGATTAAAACATTTCTTCTTTGGGCACATTGGTGCAATTGGAAAATACATCAGAGTATAAACACCTTGGGCATTGTTGAAGGACGAGCAGGATCACAACGATTAAATAAAGCGGCAGGCGAGAGTGGAAGTCGCTTTTGGAAAACTTTGGCTTGATGGTGAAAATAATTTGCAAAAAATTTGCATAAATTGTGAAGGATTGATTCGTGCGCACATGATTTCAGTGTGTGTGTGTGTCGCGAGCAAAATAATCTAATAAAAAAAAATCTAAATCGATGTGCCGTTACATGCCTAGGAACTGGCATACTAACAGATCATCGGTCTACAAGATAAACTGATGATTGATTTGCATATATTCTTTATCTTTTAATTTTAATCAACAGAGCTCTTGTAAGGCATATTTTAATCGTGAATAATTGCTTATCGGTGAGATGCGTGTGGTATCTTATTGTCGGATCATTAATGGACTGGCTAGAGCAGCTTGTTTTTCGTGATAACATTTCATTGTGCACACACAGTATTGTTTAATCTCTGTATCTTATGTTTAAAGCTGATTAAACTGTCAGTTAGGTTTAATTAATTTTAACTAGCGGTAACAAATGATTCGTAATAAGCGTACACAACCGCTGATGTACGTGTTAATGAATTTATACGATGTTATGAAGATAAATTTATGCTTAAGAAATCATTAATTAAAGCATACTTAAACAGATTACACCTGATACATTCTCTAGGAAATAAAGTGCATAATTTCCATTCACAATAAACACACAACCGAATGCTGCGTTAGGTAATGAAACGATGTAACGCTGCTTACCTCCTACCTAAATAATCGCACACCATAATTTATTCACGTCAATGGACCTTGTGCAACATGTACACGCATTGTAATACTCGACACTTGTATTGTACTCAAGGCGAACGACGTTCAACCCCTCCCCCAAACCCTACGATTCGATTATTTTTACTTTTTTTGTACCCGGAGTAATGTCGCGATGCCCTCACGAACTGAGGTCGCGTGCAGGGGCTCGATGGATTGTTCCATCGCAGGATCCGAGGTTCGATCCCAAGGGCTTCTTGTTCCATTGCGGCGAAGGGTAGCGCACACAGTGGCTGCGATGAGCCCATTACGTACGGCAATAATATCGATTCGATGCATGCCTCCACAAGCTTAATCATCGATGTATAATGATGCATAAATTAATCGATTAAATGTTTACTGCACACATCATGTAACATAATTCATTTACAGTCCCTTGTCAATCCACTGCTGGATTAAGGCCTTCCCCATTGCCATAATGCGTAATGGTCAAAGGGTTTTTTTTTTTACTACTTCCTTACGCTGAGCAAGTTGGGGGGGGGGGGGTCAGGGGTGGGAGCGGGGGACAAAGTGGAGGATCGGT